GGCATGAGGAAAGGAGGCCCAGTGTTTTTTAGTGAAGAAATCTCCATTTCTTAACTTGATTATCTGGGGCACATGGAAAGCCCTGTGGATCCTGAGGAGCAGTGAGGGAGGGAAAAGTATGGAGCCATATCCTCTTAAAGGCTACAGAGGTTGGACCTCACCATCAGTTTTTCTCACTGGAACCCAGTAGGATTAGGGTGAATTTGTTCCCATTTGGCATTGTCTGGAGAAATTTTGTCATTTCTGGGGAAAGGGATGCTACTGGCATCTAGTGGCAGAGGCTAAGGCCACTACTAAACATTCTGTAGTATGCAGGATAACCCTTCACAACAAAGTTGTGAAACAGCAGTGAAATAGAGAGCCCTACTGTGTGTTAATTAAGTTAGTCAATCAGTCAGATCCAGTAGAAGTCACAGTCATGCTAGAGAACTGAAGGTCTCCAGGGAAGATGTACAAAACCTTACTTAGACCACTCTGAGGGAAACCAAGAAAATAAACATAGGCCCTAAGTAAATGTGTTATGACTCACCTCCAAAGGAGTGTTTTTATAGTTTTGATTCACTTCTGTCCTGAACATTGCCCATCAGTCTGCCTTACGGGGTTTCTCAGGGGAGCTTGCTCATTTGGTTTCCACTGCAGATTTCACTTTCCCCACTTTCCTTAGGTTTTACTCTCCAAATAACCCCACTAACTCTGTAGAGAACATAGAATCCTCTCTAAAGGAACTAACCACTGCAGCTCCCAGCCACCAGTCTACAAGCTTCTGTCTGCACTCATTTATTCTGCAGTCCATGTTGCTACAATGGAAGAAGTAAGGTTTTTCCCACAGCTGATCTCCTCACTTGTCTTCCCAATTCCATTCCTTGTGGTCTCTCTTTTGATTTCACTTGGTTCCATCTCACAAGTTTTAAAACTAGCTTTATTCTCTCCCACTTTACTGCCCTTCTGTTACCCATCCCCTCATGTATAGGCATTTACTCCCCCACAAGGTAATGTTCAGTATTTAGTCATTTAAAATTAGTTTATAGGAGCTTTTTGTTATGTTGTTTTGCTTTAAGTCTATTATATGAACTTAAGGAAGTGAGTGTTGTAATGATTTTAAATTAGATTTTTAAAAAATTCTTGCTCAGGGCCACATAGCTTATAAGTCACAGAACCATAATTAGAATCTACCTTTGTAGAGTCTACTGAAAACTTCTACTGGGTTTGGTGTGGTAGTCTTTAGCGATCTTAGCAAGAGCAGATTTGATGTGGGGAGTATGGGGGGAGATGTAAAGGGCAGATTGGAGTAGTTAAAAGGAGTAGTTAGGGGTGCTTCATACTGTTTCTCTTCACAGCCAGAGTTCTAGAAGCAGACTTGTATTCATCAGAATGTTAGTCATGGTTCCGATTGATCTTTTCATCACTCTGATACAGGTCATGCATCAATTCTACAAGTATTTGATGTGTTCTTATTGTTGCTAGTGCTATTGTAAGTGCTGGAGAATAAGCAGTTATAAGCAGATAAAATTGGACTGGGGAGATGACTTAGCACTTGAAGTGTTGCCATGCAAACAAGAGAACTGGGGTTTGGATCCCTGAAACCCATATAAATGCCAGGCTGTCACTGCAGTCCTTCCACCTAGAAGGTGGAGATGGGGCATCCTCAGAGCAAGGGGGCTCATGAGACAAGTGTAGTTTGACTGAGAGACCTTGCCTCAAAGAGTAAGATGGAAGTATGTTCCAAGAAGATTCCTGGCATTAATCGTGGGCCTCTACACACATACACACATATACATATGCACTCACATGTGTGTCCACACACATGCAAACACCTATATACACACAAAAAGAAAGTAAACATAAAGCCCCTCTTCTTTCTTACATCAAATGTAGGGCTTATTTAGATAAGTCCTGGCAATGTTTTGATTCCTCTTGGATTGTCTTACCCATCCCCATCCCATTTACCAGTCAGTAAACCATATATTTCCACTAAGATAGCTGAAAAACCCACAGCCTCATTTTGCCTGCTCTACTTATCTGTAGTGTGCATAATATGTCATACTACAATACAACCCAAATTGTCTTAAGCAGCCGCCTTTTATCTTGTGAAACTGTACTTGGGGCAGACTTCAGAAGGAACACATCTCTGCTTCATTTCACATCAGCTGGAGCATTCACATTCAAGATGGTGTACTCATGGGGTGACAAGTTGGTACTGGATATGAGCCAAGGTCTCAGCCAGGCCTATGGGTTATGGGAGTCTTAAATTTCTTTCCATCTTTCCATAGAGTGATTGTTTAGGCCTCCTCAAAGCATGGAAGCATTGGGGCAGGTGAATGACAGGCACAGTGGCTCAGAACTCTGGATCAGGGACCTTTGATTATCTGGAAGTCATATTATCACTTCTACCATGATTATAAACCCACTCAATTCCAAGAAAAAGAAATGTATGTTGTGCTTTCCAGAGGGAGATTGTCAGAAGTGACATTATAAAAAGTATGAGATGTGAACGGTATTCTACCTTTGGAGAATATCTAACCATATATGTAAAACTGAATTTATATTCTTTCATAAACCCATCTTTTCTCCAGTGTTCCCGACCCAATAATTGACCCCATCTTCTACACTGATGCACATACAAAAATTCTGAAAAAGTGTTTAATGGCTCTTTTTTTTTTCCTTTTCACTTCTCAGTAACTTACTGTTTAGCCTGTCCATCGCCACTGGCTCTGTTATCCTCAGATCCTCCTGCCATGTGCCACCATTACCATGAACCTAGTTTAGGCCATTATTTTCTTCCACCTTAGCCTTACTGTCATGATTTTCCTGTGGGAAGTAGCTAGCTGTCTTTCACTTTCCAAACTATTTTTTAGAATATTTATTTTATTTTCTGTATATGAGTACATTGCCTACATGTATTTGCAAATGCTCCCATGTCATGCACTGCCCATGGAGGTCAGAAGAGAGCATTGGATCCCATGAAACTGGAGTTTCAGGTAGTTGTTAGCTGCCATGTGGGTGCTGGGAACTGAACCTGGGTCCTCTGCAAGAGCAGCCAGTGCTCTTAACTGCTGAACCACCTCTCCAGCCTCCTACTTCATGTAATCTTTTTTTATTTTTTTATTGAATTTCTGCAATTTTCATACAATATAGTTTGACGGTATTTAGACCACCTCCATCTACTGCCTCCCATCCAATGTATGTAATATATGTAATATGGCCTGTAGAATCTCATTTGTGTCCCTAAATGTCCTTCATTGTGGGTATGTCTACTGGGCCCACCAACAGTCCCATCCATGTAAGACACTGTCTTTCCCTCTGCTAGCAACCAGCAGTTGCCAAAAGTTCCTTAGGTTGGTTTGGGATTTCTTATACACTTCCCCATGTCTGTCCTGGGATTTTTTCTGGTTTGAGCTTATGTGGGACTTGTGTATGCTGTCACCATTGTGAGAGTTCATATGAGTAACTGACGAGTGTCTGGAAGACTCTGTTTCCTTGTGGTCACCCTGAAGACTAGCTCTCAGTGTATCAGAGGATACTATACAAGCTACCAAACGAGAAAACCAATCAATAGTCCTACCCAGCTGTAAAGCCTAATAAACAACAATGACTGACCCAGCAAAATGTCACTATTGGTGCAGTAGTGGCACCTTTATCTTGGGGGTAATCAAAAGCTGTCTAATTGGAATTAAGGCCCTTTTAATGGGAGGGAATTCATGTGGTACTGTAAACATTGCCAAATACAAATGGCTGAAGTGAGCATGTAATCTTTTAAAATACATACCTGGAGCTAGAGAGATGGTTCAGCAGTTAAAGAACACTTACTCTTCTTCCAGAGGACCCGGGTTCCCAGTACCCCCATAGCGGCTAACAACCATTCATAACTCCAGTTCCAAGGACTCCCGGCATCCTTTCCTGGCCTCTGCGCTGACGTTGCATGCATGTGATACATGCAGGCAAAACACTCATACACATAAAATTAAAAATGATAAATATTTAAAATACCCATTCATGACATACTGCCACTTAAAAATCCATTAAAATCATTGCAGTGCTTTTGAAGAAGGGAATTCTTTCTCTGGCAAGTTCTAGCTCCTACCTGTTTTAGATTCATGTTGGATCTCTGAGCTCCTTTTGCATTTGCTATGCAAGGCCTCAGAGTTCTGTTCTCTTTCTTGTCTGAATTTCACTTCTACACCTGCTAGCCCTTCTGTCTGCCACATTCTACTCCATTATTGGGGTTTATATAAATGCAATTATTTTTTAAAGAAAGCCAGAGTTAGAATTGTCTTTCAGAGAGTTTGAGGATATCTGTATTTTCCTTGTGACCCATATTATACTTAAAAAAAAAGATTTGTTTTTGTTTATGTGTAAATAAATGTTTGAGCTCACATGAGTTTATGTGCACCATGTGCATGCAGGAGCCCACAGAGGCCAGAAGAGGGCGTCATATCCTCTAGAACTGGAGTTACAGGTGTTTTTGAGCTGCCATGTAGGTTCTAGGAACTGAACCTAGGTCCTCTGCAAGAGCAGTAAGCACTTTTAACCGTTGAGCCATCTCTCCAGCCCTCTCCCCCATGTTATAATCATTCAAACTGTCTTTTACTTCCTTGGTAAAGTCCAAAAAGTTCCAAGAAGGAGAAAAATGATCTAGAATCTCGAAAGTCAAGACAGTGCCTAACAGACACACAGTGAGCACTTAATATATGCTTATAAATGAATATACATATGTGGTTATGTATAGCTATCACATATATCCACATGTATGCACACAAACCAACTTGTGCGTGTGTGTATGCAAAGGTTTTATGAAAATATTTTATACTTGAGTAAGATTTGTCATTGGTATATTTATAAATTATATGTGCATTTAGGAAGACATACATATTCATCATGAATTCTATTTTGTTTTCTTCTTGTATCCAGTTGTTGAAAATATACTGCATCAGACACTGACCTGGTTCAGAGTTGTTCTGTTCTCCCTTTTCTCTGATCAAATGCTGTTTTTCTTATTCAAGGTAAGGAATCTGCTGCAATGAAAACTGACCTCCTGAGAGCCAGGAATATGAAAAGGTACATTAACCAGCTAACCGTGGCAAAGAAGCAGTGTGAGAAGAGAATCCGAATCCTGGGAGGTCCTGCCTATGACCAGCAAGAGGATGGAGCCTTGGAAGAAGGGGAAGGGCCTCAGAGCCAGAAGGTAGAACTTTATAGTTTCTTGTTTGGGCATATCAGTTTTATTATACACACAATGTAACCATATGCACACTTTTTTAATGCTTTAGTACTTAAGATACATGTTTCATTGCTACAAGCTCATGTATATGGTTTGTTTTGTTTTGTTTTGTTTTGGTCTTTTTGAGACAGGGCCTCTCTGTAGTCCCAGCTGGCCTGGAACTCACTATGTAGACAAAGCTAACCTGGAACTCACAAAGATCCACCTGCCTCTGCCTCCCAAGTGCTGGGATTAAAGGCATGCGCCACCACACCCGGCTTACGTATATGGTTTTATGAGTAAAAACGTATGTCCTTTATTCTGTAAATGGCAATAGATAAGGTCGTCCAGTCTATATTTTTTTCACTCTACTTTTTTTCCCCACGTACCAGCCCCTTCTTCCAGAGAAATGTGGATTGTTTTTTTTTCCCAAGGACTCAATCAAGTCCATTGTCACCACCTGTGAAGTAGAAGGTATTTTTCTTAACTTTTGCCATAATGTTAGAAACTATTTACTTAATTTATTTTCAGATAATGAAATGGGGGAATTTAAGTAACTTGTTTAAAGCCACATAGATAGGATAAGGCAGAACTAGATGAAGACCCAGATATGGTTGGTTCATAGATCTTAACACTTTCTGACTAAACCGTAGCATGTTAGTGGCTGTTTTTGTGCCACAAAACCTTGGACTGTCTATTGATAATGACTTTAAACCATAGAGCCTAGTAATACCTTCTAGCTCTATTTTAGGACCTATCCTAAGTGTAAGGCCCAGGCTTTACTTTCAAGACCTGTAGCAAATTAGGATGAAGGAAGCACCACAGAGTGCCTCAAGGAGCTTGGGGAACAGGGCATCAAGGCAAATATTGATCTCCCCTTTTATGAGACAACAGCCAGAAAGAAGATAACAGTAATATAATTTAACCCTGGCTATAGCCTCTAACTTATCCCTCTTCTAATTTTTAGTCTCTCCATCTTTCCCTCTTTATATCTTAGTTTGAGTCCCCTGCCTCCCTCTTCTAGGATAAGCTTTTACCTTTCCATCTGTTCCTGACTTAGTCTTCATCAGTGCCCCTTCAGAAAGGTTACTGTTCTTTTTTTAAAATATTTTATTATTTTTATTTTATGTATATGAGTGTATTGCCTGCATGTGCAACTCATGCAATGCCATGGAGATGAGAAGAGGGCTTCGGATTCCTCTGGAACTGGAGTTAAGGATGGTTCGTAGCCGCCATGTGGGTGCTGGGAATCAAACCCGGGCCCTCTGCAAGAGCAGTCAGTGCTCTTAACCACTGAGCCATCTCTCCAGCCCCGCTGTTCTATCTTTTGTTCAATTTTTCTATCTCACATAAAGTGGTACCAGTGCAGCTCCAAGGAATTGTTGTTTTAGAGTAGGATGTCCTGACCACTGTAGATCTGTTTGACTCATAGTCACTGTACCTTTCTGACATCCTCTTTATGATCCAAAACGAAAGCTTCATCTTTGGTGAATGTTAGAGAGGGTAGAGTTGGCAAGTTAAATATTGTTCCTTTTCTTTCTTCCCTCAGCCTTTGTCCTCTTAAGGTAATGTCTACCACCATTTATCGTAGATGGGGACTTCATCTGTGTCCTTTCGTTCATTCTTTCAGTTTGTTCACTCATTCAATAGGCATTTATTGAAGGTTCACATTTCCTTGGTTATCAGGGTAGAATAAGGAATAAGATAGAATCCTTGCCCTCAAAAAGTCACTTTTAATTATAAAATAAAAAGGTAAGTGATCCAGTAAAGATATGACATGCAAACTTAGGGGATGAGCCTAACAGCTTCCTAGTAGGTAAAAGATAATATGCTTTTAGATGTTAAGGGACAGGAAAATCTTGAGAAGGCTTAGGAAAATTGACTTATGATTTCAGTGCAGGTTGCTTCATAGTATAAACTAGAAGTATACAATACAGAACTAGCTCTATTCTTCGTAAATATTCAGGAAATGAGAAACTTAACTTTGGTTATGATTGAGAGCCTTTTTAATAGCTAAGCCATCTCTCCAGCTTGAGAAATTTATTTTTATAGCATGAATTTATCTCCATAGTCAAATCATTGCCTCTTATCTTCAGACTGGAAGACGCATAAAACTTTAGAATATCAGTGGTGGTTTGCCATTCTTGAGGTAAAACTTTGGTCAGTTTGGAGCCATTCTGACATATTCGTAGATGGTTAGAGCACTTTTGGTATAACCTATTCCCAGTCTGATAAAAAAGAATTGCCACCAAGTTTATTTCAAAGTATTCACTTCCAAATAAGATGAAACATTCAATTAAAAGAGATTGCTAGTGCGTAAAAGGCTAGGAATTATATGTTGTTTATAAAACATAAACTATAAAGAGACAGATGGGTTGAAAGTAAGAGAGAAAAAGACAGACCATGAGAACACTAAACAAAAGAAATCTGGAGTGCTAATACTAATGTCAGACAAAGTAGATTTGAGAATAAGGAATGTAACCAGAAATGAAGAACATTTTATTATGATAAAAGAATCAATTCATGAAGAAAAGATAAAATCCTAAATATGTATATAAGAGACCTTTACAGTACATAAAGCAAAAACGGAAACGGAAGTGAACTGGAGAAAAAAATTCTACAGTTACGGTTGTGGGTGTTAATATGCCTTTCTAAGTAAGTGCTAAATCAAGTAAATAGATTTGGGGAAGGATATAGAAGACTTGAAAAATCACTAACACCAACTGGAACTGATAGACTTTTGTCAGACAGTTACTCCAACAATGGAAGAATATTTTTTTTCTCATTTTTATGTGTTACAGGGTTTATACTGAGTTCAATATTGTATAACTGTATTAATTCAACTGTGAACCTAAAAATTTACAGCCACTTTTGAAAGAGATGTATCCTTGCTCTGGAATGTGTCACTGAATATGTTAAAGCTGTAATAAAAAAAAAAAAATGAGTCCCTGCTTTAAAAAAAAATACAATGTATTAGTATTTGTGGTTTGCAGGTGAACCAGCACTAAGTAGAAAATACATAATTTTTTTTGTGTGTGAGATTACCACTGTTTATTTTCTGTTTTTTTTCAATACATTTAATGATTCAATTAGAAAAGAAGAAAAGTGTGAAATCATTGGTCTAAGGTTCTACCTTAAGAGATACAACTTAAAATTAAAAGAACTAGAATAAAAGAGAGAAACAGTACAAATTACAATATTAAGAATGAAAGATGGACTATCAGTAGATGGTGCATGCTGCTGTTTTATGAAGGAAAATTGGAGCTTTCTCAGAAAAAATTTAATGTATATTTAAAGAAGAGGGGCAGAGAAAAGGTAAGAGAATCTTAAGAAAAAGACAGAAGGGTGTTGGGGATGACTCAATTACTAAAGTACTTGGCAGACAAAGATGAGAACCTGGGCTTGAATCCCTAGCACCCATATATAAGGCAGGCATCGTGGCATGTACCTATAATCATAGTGCTGGGAGAAGTGGGGTGGGATGCTCAGTGCAGCCAACCTGGCCAAATAGATCCTCATTCAGTGAGAGACCCTGGGGTCTCAAAAATGAAGGTGAATGACTGAGGAAGACACCCATCATCAACCTTTGCTCTGCAGAAGCACATGCACTTGAACATACATGTGAACATGAACATGCCCATGCATACACATACACAAAGATAAAAGAAGGAAGAGGAAAGGAAAGGACAGTAGTACATACCCAAGAGTAGGTGCTCACCTCTCAAAAAGAATGAGTTACCTGTATACAATATTTTAGTGAATATATTTGGCAATTTAAAATATAATTCTTTGAAACACACAAATTATTAAAAGTGAACATAAAGAAATAGCAAATCTGAATGACTTTAGATGTATTAAAGAAAATGAGTTCATAGTTTAAAATCTTTCCACAAAGGAAATGCCAGCCCTAGATCATTTCACTGATGAATTCTATTAAGCATTTTCGGAAGGGATAGTAGCATTTCCTTTTTTTCCTTCAGTCTTGGGATTGGACCCCAGCTGCATGGTAAGCACATGCTCTACTTTTGAGCTGCACCCCAATCTGGTGACATCAGTCTTAACCAAACTATTTCAGCCCACTGCTAATGCTTTTGTCATCTTTACTTAACTAGAAATGGCTTCTTAAGGGTTTTTGATTTGTCATATTTTAACTTAAAGGCTGAAGCTTTTCTTAACTCTTGATTTAGTCTCCTGTTGGTTAGTTTCTGTTGCTTGCTGTGATTCACAACACCCATTATATAATCCCATGAAGTAGGTGATATACAGATCTTAGGGAATTGAAGTTGAGTGATAGAGTAACAGCTATGGGATTGAAAAGTAGCAAAATTAGGATTAATGCTTACATATGCTTAGCTCCAGAACCTGAAGAGTTTCACCTGTACAGCATGGCCTGTTTTGCTTTGATTTTATTGCAACATGAAAAAAAAAAAAAAAAAATCTGACCGTCATAGGTGCATTGGCACATACATGCTCTTGTGTGCGTGCACACACACACACACACACACACACACACGACTCCCAATAGAAAGATTGATGAGTTTCAGAAAAAAACAAAGGGAGAAAAAGAAATAAAAATATATTAAGAGTAGAAATCAGTGACAATAAATAGCTGACCTTTTCTTTAAGGTGAGCTTGCACACATCAGTTTATTTGATCTAAAGCTGATTCAAAACAACTACTACTGAATGTAGCCTAGGACTCTATACATGAGCATAAAAAATGATTCCCTGGATTCTTCTGTTGCTGGAGTATCTGTCGACTTGTCTTCCCTAGCAAAATTTATATGAATTCCTTTGAACTTCCCTGGAGTTGTGTAGAGTTAGGATTTATGCTTCACAGTGCTTCTCTGGTAGGGTTTCCATAAAGTAAAGACAGGTGTTAAGATGTCCCAAAGTTAATGAACTAACTGAATACAAATGGCCTGCACTATTTGTGTAAACCAGTTTCTTTTGTAGGAAACTAGCTCTGTTCCTAATGTCAAGTTGATGTAAAAAAACAGTGGGCCTTAACAGGGATGACAGTATATGAGCTCCAGTGGGGGCGCTATGAGAGGGTGCCAGTAGGGATGGGGGTATAAAGATGGTTAAAATTGTTTGAGATATTCTGTATGAAGTACACAAAAATTTAATTAAAAAAAAAGAGGAAAAATTATTTTAAAATAATTATTTGCTATATATATTTACTACTTATTAAAATTGAAAGCAAATTACAATGCTAAAAATCTTTGTTGAATATGACTAAATTGGTATATTTTGAATATTTACATTTTGAATATTCAGTTATTTTCTTTCATTAATTCCTAGAAATTGTTAGGCAGTATGTTCCCCTTTCTACCTGCATGCATTACAGATTAAGTAAGGGCTTATTATTGGTGAGAGATTTAGTTGAGTGTGCATTGATTATATGCATGTTATTTTAAAAATATCTTTATGGTATATTTCAGAAAATTCACAAGTTGCCATAAAGTTAATTTTAAGAATCTCAAACTATAAATTTTTATTTAATTGCATTTGAGTTCCACTTATTAAATGTTATTTTTATTAGTGATTCAGACTAAAGGATATGGGCCTTAAATTCCTTCTAAATAAGTTTGTGGCATTTCTCCTAATTGAACCATCAATCATTATGAGGGTCATCTGCTTCCTCATATGGCACCATTCCCTGCTCATGACTGTTCCTACTATGTCTTCAGATACACTCTACTTTCTTTTTCTGTGAGCATACAAAATAGTGAACAGAAGTGGTAGCATTCATTTGGCACACCTATACAGTGGAATTTAGGGACAAATTTAAATGTTTTTGCAGAATATTAATTATTATTATTATTATTATTATTATTATTATTATTTTGTCTTTTTGAGACAGGGTCTCCTTGTAGCCCTGGCTCACCTGAAACTTGCTATGTAGACCGCGCTGGCCTCAAACTCACAGAAATCCATCTGCCTCTGCCTCCCAAGTGCTGAGATTAAAGGCGTGCACCACCACTCTTGGTGCATAAGATTTTTTAAAAATGACTGTGGTACTGTAAACATAAATAATTAGGTAGGATACAAATATATTTATATTTTTCTCAGCTGTGTAAAATATAATAGAAGGCAGAAATGCCAAACCATTAGATTCCAGTTCCTTGGTCTTTTGTATATTTCTTGTCAGTTTATTATTGACAACTATTACTTTTAGCCTAGAATGCACATCCCATGGGGCAGAGGTTATTATCTTCGTCATTTCTTAGTTCATATAAGTGTAAAACAAATCTTTGTTGAATGACTGTTTAATACAACATTGACAGTTTTTTAAAAATAGATGAATTTTGAATATTCATTAATTTAGATGAATTCAGTTTAAGTTAGATGAAAGTTTAGGAATGTGCTAGAGAGACATTTCAACTTAGGGATATTATATCACTTTATCTGTGACCTGAAAAATGCGTATTTCTCTAAATGTAGAACTTATTTCATCGGAAGTTAGAAGCAAACTGGTATTTAAAATTTGATCCTTAAGGGCTGGACAGATGACTCAGTGGTTAAGAGCACTGGCTGCTCTTGCAGAGAATCTGAGTTTGGTTCCCAGTACCCATACAGCAGCAAACAACCAGCTGTAACTCTAGTTCCAGGGGATCTGTCGCCCTCTTCTGGCCTCTGCGGGCATTGCATGCACATGGTACATTTACATACATGCAAGCAAAACACTGATACACATAAAAATGATAAAGTAAATAATTTAAAACATTGATCTTTAAAAAAGCTTTTCTTAAATTCTCTTAATAGATTCTTCAGTTTGACGATATTTTGGCCAATCCTTTCTACCGAGAATATTTTCACATGTACATGGAGAGGATGGACAAGAGAGTTCTGATTGGCTTTTGGGAGTCTGTGGAACATTTGAAGAACGCTAACAAGGTAGTGTATGTAGGCTTTAAGGAGAATTCATCACTAGCTAATGAAAGCTTCCATGCTAGGGAGTATATCTTCTCATTGAAGCTATAGAGTTAAGTATAGATTAAAAGAATATATTTTAAATCCAATGTACTATTGTAACATTTCTCAGCTCATTATGGCAGATAAAATTGCACTATATTTTTCTAGAAGATGCTTTTGAAGAGTAGTCAAGAGAAAAAAAGATTTGTAAGTGTACCAAAAGATTGAATTTTATTCTTAGATATATTACAAAACACAAAATATCTACACTGCTTTTTCAGTAAAGTGGTATCATCACTGTCACCTCAGACTTATACTCATCCCCTGTTTTAGCATCATGTACATTTTTTGTTCTTTTTCTATTTATAATGTACACTTTTTACATTAGTTTTCTTTTATTTCATTTAAAATATGACTGAATAAGGGAACATTAACATTCCATTTTTGATTATACATACCTCTTTTTTTTTGAGACAGGGTCTCCCTGTAGCCCCAGCTGGGTTAGGCTGGATGGGACCCGACTGCCTCTGCCTCCAGAGTACTGGAATTAAAGCCGTGCACCACCAGGCCCCACTACCCATGCCTTTCCCATGCCTTTTACAGTGAAGAACCCAATAGATTTGTATTGCACTTAGTAAGTTCCCAATATGTATTTAAAAATTACAGAATGTATATATAGCCTTTGTGTGTATGTCTAACACATATGTATAGCATATGTACATATTGTATTAACATGCATTTTGAGTGATTCCTTAATATAAGCACAAAGAACATTTTGTACATTGAATTCATCTGCATATGAATGCCACTAGAATAGAAAACCATTTTAAAGTACATGATAAATTACAAATGGCATTAAGGAGCTAAATTCAGTCTTATGATATTTTTAAATCTCAAGAATGCTTTCCATTGGTAATTTACAAACCACAAGTTGCCTACTTTGTTACTAATTTTAATCCTTGATTCCAGGTAACTTTTGGCTGCTCTTAAAAGTATATTATGGCTGGGCGTGGTGGCAACGTGCCATTAATCCCAGCACTTGGGAGGCAGAGGCAGGAAGATCTCTGTGAGATCAAGGCCAGCCTGGTCTACATCGTGAGTTCCAGTCTAGCAGGGCCTAAAGGAGGGACCCTGTCTCAAAAAAA